GCCAAATATTCTTCCACGTACTTTGAGAAGGTCAAAAGCAACTTTGGGGTCTTCACCCCCAAGCTAGGGCTCTGTGCAAGCCAAGTCACCCAGAGCCACGTTGACATGGATATAGCCTCCAAGTCCCACCGTGAGCAAGCAGCTTGGTAGGCATCCTGCCCACCTGATATAACGGGCTCTACCAAGGACAATGCCTTCTAACTTTGTCAAGTTTTGAAATCAGCAGTCAATGGGAAATCTCAGAGAGAGTGGGCTTTCCTATAAGGAAATAATCAGGTTTTTTATGAGCTCAGATCCAACCACTCTCATGAAATTTTAAAGCATCCACCAAGAAACCATCAGGCTCCAGCAAAAAGCCCTGTTTATTACTGCACCTCCCTAGACCCAGAAGGTCTACTACAGAAGAGAAGCAACAAGCTCAGAAGCCAGTGAACCCATCACTGCCACCTTTGATGTCCCAAAGCACTCATCTCCTCACCATAACACTTACGAGCCCTGAGTCCAGCACTTGAGGCTCAGTCCTTTGGGAGCGCCAGGTCAATATTTAGGTATGGGCCAGCAGGACTCTACAGAGGCCCAAGCCAGAGGGAGCTAAAAGGCAACCAGAGCTCAGGTCCTGAGCAGGGGTACCTCCTAACCGTGCTTTCCTCATAGGAGCATCAGGCAAGCAAATAGTCTCTTCCACTCCACAGGAGTTCAATACTTTGCAGATAATACACTCCATCCATCCTTCAAGCAACAACCACCACCAGCAGCAAATGAAGGTGTCTGCAGACATTTACTATCTCCAGTTGAATCTATGCTCTGCAACAGTATTGGTCACCTCGGGTTGTTCCAAAGGCTTAGAATCCTGAAATAGCATTGCAAATGTCTGCCCTCTCTCACTGTGAGAAAGATCTGCTAAAGTTCCCTGTAGGAAGGGAAGTCAGAGAGAAAGTGAGCAGCCAATTTAAATGTTGTCTTACCATCTGGTTGGAATTAAGGTCTGGGTGGGTCAGTTGTTGCCCCAAGATGCCATCCTTGCTGCACCTGCTCTCCATTTGACACCTTTTGTGTGGTTAGTTCACCACGTTCAGCTGAACATCTCCTGACAATGGGCGGCTCAAGCACCAGAGAATACCTCGGAGCGATTTGTTCATCCTCGGAGGTTGTCCATGAGAGACATTCGGCGATGTTAATCTGGATCAGCTTTGGAAGATGCTGTTTAAAACAGCAGGAAGCTCCCAAGCAGCCTTAACCCAATTAAACATCGTTCCCTTAGGACGGGAGGCCAGCTAAGCTTGCATTAAAACCCATCAAGTGTCCTGTTAATCAGGTGCACTTTAATATCACAGCTGTGGTCATCCCAGTGGAGGCCACCAAGAGGCTGGAGATGCCTCATCAGTTTTCAGCTCCTTTGGTCATCGGTTATTTTTGCCATTACTTTGGGTGGTGAGATGAAAGGCCCAGCAGCTCTGCCTTTATCCACTTTGCTCTCCAGACTCCCTTCCAATTTTTCTTTTCACATTAACTGTGTCGCACACCAGACTCTCATTGACTAACTGCCCGAGGGGGACCCTCACTGAGCGTTAATTGCTGTTAATGAGCTGTTGCTGCTTTCCTTCCAAGAGCACCAATTACAACAGCACTCAGGCACTACAAGAACATGCGTGTCTGCAGCAAATCAAGGCAAATTTTACTCCACGCCCTGGCATTGCACTGCCAGCAACTCCTGGAAAATGCTTTAAATCAGGATGAGACTGGGTGAAGGATGACAGCAGGCAGCTCTCCTGCCATTGAGTGTCCCTACCAGAGTTTTATAATCATTCTTTCCACACTGCATTTCCCACCCCTGCTAAGTGTGGGTGAGGGTATACGCTAGCACTGAGTGTGCCCCTGGAAGCCTACTGAGATATCCACCAGCTAAGAAGCACCAGAGCTACCGCTGTTCCTAAAGCTTCTCCTTCTGATTTACATTTCTTAAAGCTGCAGCTGAAGGAAAGGAGACTTTAAATGAGGGATGTGCTAAGATGGTAAAAGCTTTTGCATGAGTGTTTAAGGACATGCAAGTCAAGACAAGGTACTGAGACCCTTCACCAAAAGAGACTGAATCTGTCTACAATGCTAGTAAGAGATTGCCCGGAGTCTCACTCTTTCTCATTTGGAATATTTTTGGCCATACTAAGAAACACTCACATCCAAACCACTCTTTGTGAGAGCCTTGAAATGAAACACAGCAGAGCTGATTTACTCCATGAAAAAAGGGTCGCAAGATTTTTGACTTGATACCTTGATGTGAAAGGAGACTTAGAGAGCACTACCTGCAGCAGGGTTTCCCTCTCCCCCCACTCTCCCAAGGCCACGGCTCGCTCCTGGGCTCCGGCACGTAGCTCTCCCGCAGGTATGGAGAAGGACAGGCATCTCGGCGACGCAGCAGCCAGCGCGCTCGCTTGCTCTCCTCCAGTTACAGACCGAAAGCTGTTGCTCACATCGAAGCACCTGGCTCCTATTGTGCCGCCTTTCCTCAGTCTGTTAAATTTTATTTCGCGTTATTTCTCCCGTTTTGGCTTCCACCTTAAAAACCCTTCTGTAAGTTCCCCAGCTGCCCTGCTCCTCATAAATGTTCATTTAAGTATAATACCTTATGAGCAAATCCAGAGGTACTCGCTCAGCGGGAGCTCTGCCTGAACAAAATCCCTTGGGCTAAGATCGCTGGCTCGTGTATCTTGGGATTCATCCACCAGCTTTGCGGGAACAACACCGACCTAGCCATGCCCCTGGGCAAGCTCAAGCTCACCTTGGTTTGTCCCAAACCCACGCTACCGATTTCCCAGTGCTTTTCTCACAAATATATATATTCTTCCCCAGGAGCCAGAGTACCCCCAGAAAGGACAAGCCCAGGGAGGGTGGGTGCCCACCAACATCTCTGAAGAAGCCGGCCAAAGGCAGCTCCGCAGAGCTCAGGAGCAGCAGGATTCAACTCATGCCCCCACATTTCCCAAATGCCGGGCACGCTGGATTTCGTTTTTCAGAGCTTAGCCTACAAACAATCAATCTTGTCTTCTGCGCAGGCCAATGAGGTCTGCGGAAAGAAAATTGCAAAAGATTTGTTATTTCCCTAGTGTTCCCATTTTCCCATTCCTTTCCCACAGAAGCAAGGTTTTTGTTTTGTTTTGTTTTGTTTTCTTTCCCAACTTTCAGAGGAAAATCCTGACAAATGGAAGCCCTGATTCATACCAGCAAAAATTTGGCCTTTTTTAATTTAAGGTGGAGCCCTCTTTGTCCGAGTATCAAAACATTTCTCTAACTGCAGACAGAGGGCAAGGATGGAGCCTTTGCCGGCAAAGGCCAAGTGGCATTGGGTGCTGGTGGCCACCTCGAGCGGAGAGCCGTCATGCAGGCAGGAGAGCTGCTCATCTCCGCTGTGCTCGCTGCCAGGGATGGGAACCAAGGGGACAGGCAGGCACAGGGTGGTGATGGTGGCTGTCACCAAAGAGACTTCCAGGGGTGGGAAAACATCTCCTGGGGGAGCTGCTCGGGCAGAGGCATGGTGTGAGGTGCCATGGCCAGAGGGATGCATTGGAAGAAAAGATCCCCATCCTCCCGTGTTTTCTCAGATGACCAAAGGAAGTGTGAGAAAGGCTCAGGAAGGGAAGGAGAGAAGCACAGCTCCTCTCCCATCACCACCACCCCAGCAGAGACACCTGCTTCCCTCTTCCCTCCGTGTCTCACCTGCAAAGCAGCAGAGAGAAGAAGCAGGCTTGGGAAAAAAGGATTTATGGGCACAGTCTACCTGCTCCCACAGCCCAGGGGAAAAAAAAAGTGAAGGAGAAAGAAGATCAAAGGAGCAATGTGTCTCTAAAACTCTCTCTTGTCGCTTTTCTTCCTGTATGCTGCCATCCGCACTGCATCGCTCCCGCTCCTGTGGGCACCTCTGCCCGTTGCTGGGAGCTAGAAGCAGGGAATGAGCAATTTTCTCTGACACTGAGACAGAAACGGCTCACAAAA